ACTTTTATAAATTGTAAAGAAAGTTAATGTTATTTTAAAAATAATCCCAGTTAGATAAGAAGGACATTATATAATGATAAAAGGGCTAATTCACAAGAGACATTAAAATATCAAATGTGTATGCACCCAATAACACAATATCAAAGTACATGAAGAAAAACATGATAGAACTGAAAAACAAAATCACAGCAAAGTTAGAGTTCCACATTCTTTGATTAATAGCAAATATAACAACTTGTCAGGAAATCAGTAATAATATAGAAGATATAATCAACACTATTCACAAACTTTGTCTATTTGACATTTATAGAGCACTCTACAAAATAAGAGCAGAATACAAATTATTTTTAAGTGAACATAAAATATTTACCAAAAATGAACCATATTCTGGAGAATGAAACAAATCTTAACAAATTAAACAGTACTGAAATTATATGAAGGAAGTTCACTGGAGTTCCAGTAAAGATAGTGGAGAAGGTAAACAATGTGCTTGCCTCCTTTCATGACAACATAAAAATCACGACTAAACTACAACTAAACAACAATAAAAGAACAAATATTACTGAGAATCGCCTGAAGTCTAGCCAGACAGAAGTTCTATAACTAAGGACATACAGAACATACAGAAGAAGCCATGTCAACACTGGTAGGAGACCAGTCAAAATGGCATAGAAGGTAGACACTGTGCACACCTCCTCTCATGACCATAGCAACATTATAACGAAACTCAGAGCAACCATCACTGGGAGTCACCTGAGGTCTGGCTGAACAGAAGTTTAACAACTAGGGACAAACATAAGAGGTCACCTTGAACCGGTAGGAGGGGTGGAGATACGAAATGCTCGGTCCCACAACCACGTGTGGTGATTGAGAATCAGGAGGGCTATCTTGGCTCCAGAGCCTTCTCCCCTACCCGAGGAACAAGTCACCCCAGCCCCACACCGGGCTTCCCAGCCCAGGGTCCCAGTGCCGGGAATAGAAGTCCCCATAATCTCTGGCTGTGGAAACTAGTGGAGTTTGTGGCTGAGTGAGACTGAGGGCTGCAGATATTAAAAATATCCCCTTAAAGGCCCACGCCCAGACTTACTCACTGATGGACTCACTCCCTCTAAGATCCAGTGCTGGGGCAGCCGTTCGAGAAGTGCCAGGGACATATGGGAAGACACTGAGTTGTTAGGCTTCAGGGAAAAGGCTAGAGGGGCAGCTTGTTCCTGGACAGAAGTGCTGGTAGTATCCATTGTTCCTTTGTTGAGCCCTGGTCCCTCCCAGTGAACAAATGGAGGAGCCACCATATCTGAGTTGTTATCAACCTGGATAACACAGGTCACTCCACCCAGGTGATTCCCTGAGACTCTGCTTCTCCCAACTTGAGGGCCCAACAAGCCACTTCCAGTAGTTTATTCCATACAAATGGCCTGTCTTGGCTTTTGCTGCAAACTTTACTAAAATCTCTCAAAGACTCACAAAATGCAAAGTAGGAACATCTGGCCTCAGTGTGCCTTGTATCTCTTGCAGAACAGCCACAAGACATGCACTAGTGGCAGCCAGCCGCAGTTCCAGGCTAGGTCTCTAGGGGCACCCATAAGCCTTGCATGGGTGGCAGCTATCTGCGGATAGCTTAGTCTTACAAATTGGTCCCAAAGGTGCACAGGCTGTGGCTGAAATTGGCCTACACCTGGGCCCCTCCCAGGAGGCCCTTGGGCTGGCACACTCAGTGGCATGCTTTGACCAGAGCCAGAGCACCACTCAGGGCTGCATCTGAGAAGGACACACCTGAAGGGCAGACTGGGAAGGTATCAGAACCCAGCTAAAGTGAATCCTGCTCTATAGAATCAATCCCTTACTGGCCAATCCTCACAACCAATCAGCACAATGGTCAATCTCTCCCATCGGCTTGAAAACACCAACCAAAGCTCAACTATAACAGGAGGGCATGCAAAGCTGCACAAGAGACACATCTGAGCACCTCATTCAGGTGACCATGGAAGACTGTGCCAATGGGCTCTATAGGACACCTACTACATAAAGCCACTGTGTTAAGACTGGGAGACTCAGGAATCCTACCTAATACATAGAAACAGACACAAGGAGGCAGCCAAAATTAAGAGATAAAGAAACATGTCCCACATGAAAGAAGAGAACACAGCTCCGGGAATAAAAAAAATAACTTGACAAATGGAGAAAAGCAATCTACCAGATGCAGAGTTCAAAACATTGGTTATAAGGCCGCTCCCTGAACTTAGGGGCAGAGTAGATGAAATCACTGAGAACTTGAACAAAGGGACAAAAAACAAAAAACATAAAAATGGAGATGGAAAACAATAGGGAACCAGTTGGAAATGAAGAATACAATATTTGAGATAAAGAGTAATTAGAGGGAATCAACAGAGAGGATGAAGTAGAGGATCAAATCGGCAATTTAGAAAATGGGGTAGCCAAGAACATCCAATGAGAACAGCAACAAGAAAAAAGAATCCAAAAGAATGAAAACAGTTTAAGAAGCCTCTGGGACATCAAGTGTAACAATATTCGCATCATGGGGGTACCAGAAGGAGAAGACAGAGAGCAAGACATTGAAAACCCATTCAAAGAAATAATGACAGAAAACTTCCCTAACCTGGTGACATACACTCCAGGAAGTTCAGAGAGTCCTAAATGAGATGAACCCAAAGAGGCTCACACCAAGACACATCATAATTTAAATGCCTACTGTTAAAGACAAAGAGAGAATCTTTAAAAAGCACCAAGAGAAAAGCAATTAGTTACCTATTAAAGGAGCTCCCATAAGACTGTCAGCCTCAACAAAAACGTTGCAGGCCAGAAGGGTCTGGCACAAAATATTCAAAGTGATGAAAAGCAAGGACCTACAACCAAGATTATTCAACTCAGCAAAGCTATCATATAGAATAGGACAGTTAAAGAGTTTCTCAGACAAGAAAAAGCTAAAGGAGTTCATCGCCACCAAGCCAGTATTATAGGAAATTTGGAGAAATTAAGAAGGAGAAGAGGAATAAGAAATAGGTAAAAATATGAATAATAAAATGGCGGTAACTACATATCTGTCAATAATTACTTTAAGTGTAAGTGGATTAAATGCTCCAATCAAAAGATAAGGTGGCCGAATGGATAAGAAAACAAGACCCTTACATATCCTGCCTACAAGAGACTCACTTCAGATTGAAAGACACACACAGACTGAAAGTAAAAGAATGGAAAAACATATTTTATAAAAATTGAAAAAAAAAAGCAAAAACTAGGGTAGCAATACTTATAACAGACAAAATAGACTTTAAAACAAATTCTATAACAACAGACAAGGAAGGACCCAGTAATCCCACTTCTGGTTATTTATCTAAGGATGTCCAGACACTAATTTGAAAAATATATATATACATTGGTATGTTTATTGCAGCATTATTTATGAGAGAGAGAGAGAGAGAAAGAGATCCAGAGAGAGAGAGAGAGAGATCCAGAGAGATGAGTGTAATGGGACTTCATTGGTAAATAAATCACAAATCAAAATTGATTTCAGACTTTCAAAAACAAATACATTCCTCTACACTTATCTCATCAGTCAGCAGCACTTACAAGTAGTGTGATAAAATGTTCTATCTCCTCATTTTTCTGGGAAAGTAAGAGGGTTGTCTCCAGCCCTTTCATAGGACTGCTAACTTAGTAGATAAATAATATCTAGAAGAACTGGTGCCCAGACTACCCTCTTGAGCCTACATTCATAATTATCAAACAAATAAGATGTTTTGGAACTTATTTTCTTGAATGCATAGTTGGTCTAATAATTTTACCTTTTTATTGCACACCTAGTATGAACCAGATTGTGGCTTCTTTCACTTAGAATATTTAATAAAATAATATAATCTTAATATTAACAGAATTTTAGATATTCTAACAATAGAAGAATTCTCTCTATTGTATCCCTGACAAATGCAGCTATCAAACTTGTGATGACAACTCCACTGTTTGACATCCACTTGTCAAGAAAACTTGTTAGGAACTAGCTCATGTTACTTCCGCCCTGTTGGTTTTAGTTCCACCCCAGGCAGCTAGAATCATTGCCTTCATTCTGTAATGCACTCAACCTTGCTTGCTCATTCTTCCTTCCTTGCCAAAGGGTATTTTTTAGACCAGATACTACCATGGACCATACAAAACTCAGTTTGTCAATCCGTACAATTAGAATAATCACAGGGAGTGAGTAAAGATGAATGAGGTAATATCTAATTATCCCTGAAAGAAATTATGAATCCATTAGAAGAAAGGTGCTTCGCCAAACCGATGTAATATTATATGTGATTAAAGTCAATCTTTAGGTTGAATCCAGGCATTGGAGATTATTATTAACAAAGGAAAATTCCACTGAGATTAGGAAAACTTCTTATTCTTTTTTCTAATACTTCTCATCTCATCAGTCATCTGTTAGAATCATGTTTCTTTACTTGGAATTTTCATGATTTGCTCTCTAGTGCATAATTCAATTTGCTAAGGATTCATTAAGACTCTATTATCATTTCAACATAGATGACCTTAACACTAGATGAAAATCAAGGTTCTTCAGAAACTGTTATGCCAATTCTCGGTAATATATATATTTTTTTTAACTTTTGGGGACATGATGAAGATTTTTGGAGATAATCTCATAAAGAATACATTTTCCAATCTATGTTTAATTTTTGAGAAACCAGAGGCGAAGTTTTTAGTATCGGTTGACTCTGGGATTCGGTAATATCGTTAAGAATTAAGGTTAATTTTACAATTGGTTCTGCCATCCTCAGGGAGACAGATGGCCATAACATACCTGAGAATTATATCAAGATGTGACTATATTCGGAGAAGCCATAGAGGTTATTTTTTCCTGTAGTTCTCTCTTAAGAACAAAGAAACTTTTCCCAAAATTTCCCAGTAAGTTCCACATTATAGCTCATTAACCAGAATAAATTATTTTCCCATGCTTGAACCAGTTAAAAGCCAGAAAAATGGAATCACCTTAGATCAATCATGTCCTCTTCTGAAGAACAAAGTAAGGTTATCTTTCTTCCAACTCCATTCCTGGAAGAAATTAAATATTTGATAATGGATTAGCAAGCAATAGTGTTTACTTCAAGAGTCTGATCATTTATAGGTATTGAATGTGATGAGTCAAAGGGGGAGAGTTGAGATTTTGGGGAGATTGTGCATCCTGAAAACCTGATATATTTCAGTCTAGCAAAGCATAGAAATTCAGTTCTGTTCCCCTGGACCTAACTAGAACTTGGCTAGGTGCCAGTTATGTAGGTATTATATTCATTTATTCAACAGGTCTCTATTAAATGTTTGCTGTAGAGAGGTTCTGGTCAAGATGGTGGGCTAGGTAAAAGCAGGGTTCACCTCCTTCCATGACCGCATTAAAATTACAACCAAATTATAAAAGAACTTGGAGAACCACCTGAAGTCTAGCTAATCATAACACATAAATCTGAGGATATGTAGAAAAATCACATTGAGACCAGTAGGAGGGTAGAGATGTAAAGCAGACTGGTACCGCACCCACAAGTGTCAGTTGAGCAGTAAGAGGGAGAGTGTGGCTGCAGAGCCCCCATGAAGGAACAATGGGCCCTGGCCCCACACAAGGGCTCCCCAGCCCAGGGTTCCAGTCCTGGGAAAAAGAGTTCCCACAAAATTTGACTTTTAAAACCAGTGGGGACTCTGGCCATCTGGATGGGATAGAAGGAACCTGAAAACTCAAATGTCCCTTTGAAGGGCCCACACACAGACTCACTTGCTCACAGATACTCACGCTGGGCTCTGACGGAGTTTCAGTGGCTTGGGAGGTGCAAGAGACATACTGGGAGAGACTGAGTTGTGTGGTGCAAAGGTAAGGGTTGGAGGGATGGCCGCCATTCCTCCTTTGTTGCTCCCCCGCTATGGGGCAGTCTGCAGATGGGTGGCATCTTGCCTGTGGTGAACCCTCTCTCCGTGTGGCCAATTCTGAAGCTGCATTGGCCCGGTGAGATAGGCCTGCTCCACCCTGTGCCTTTCCTGGGCCATACATTTATTCACAGGCAGCAGCCCTCAGCTCAAACGGCCTGTGAATGACCTGTGAGTTTTGGGGAACTTTTGATGGCAAGCCACACCAGAGCCAGCCTGAACTGTAGTACCTCTTGGGTGAATTGCAGGGGTCTGAGGGCCTGATGCAGACAGCAATTGCCCTTGCTGCAATCTGAGACTTTTACAGGAAGCTGCAGATTCAGCACTGGCATGAAACTGGAGTCTGCACTGGCCAGGAGAAATTCACTCACTTTACCCTGGTGACTCCCTGGGTTCCCACCTCACCCAACTCTCATACCACGTAAAAGCTCTACCAGCTGCAGAGTCATATGGGCATCTGGCAGGCAGCTCCAGGCCTTGAGGTACACTGGTCCTTTTGCTAAGCTGCCCCAGGCCTGGTACTGGGGGAACTGACCTCAGTTTGCAGTGTGGTCTCTCCCACATGCCTCCAGATCCAGCATAGGCAGCAACCATTCACAGATCACTTTTTAGGTCTTACCAGGTAGCCTCGAACAATCAAAGGAAGCAGATGACCTTTGCCTACAGGGGGCTCCTCCCAAGGGGCCCTAGAACCAAAACAACCAAAATCTGGCATCAGACCACAACAGAGGACCAGCTGACTAGCCCAATAAGTGGTATACCCAAAAGGTGGTCTCAACAAGTACACGAAACTGCTGGGGAAAATATCACTCCATGGGGTCAGCCCTCACACAGCAGCTCAAACCCTATGGGTATGGCCAGTCCCCATAGCCAGTCAGCCCAAGAGTCAATCCTATCCACTGACAGGCTAACAGCAATCAAGGCTTAGCTAAAGCAGAAGAACTCACATGACACACAAGGAACACGACCAGAACTCCCAGCACAGGTCATCAGGGAGACTGTACCAGTAAACCACACAGGACACCTACTACATAAGGCCACCTGGCAAAGGTATGGAGACATAATAAATCTTCCTAATGCATAGAAATGAACACAGAAAGGCAACTAAAATGAGAAAACAAAGAAACATGACACAAATGAAATAACAAGAAAAAAACTCCAGAAAAAAAAAAACTAAACAAAAAGGAGGCAAGCAACCTGCCAAAGATGCAGTTCAAATCACTGGTTACAAGGATGCTCAATGAATTTAGGGAGAGAATTTAGTGATGATCTCAGTGAGGACATCAACAGAGATAGAGATAGTATTATAAAAAAGACATAGAAACCATAAAAAAGAACGAGTCAAAAAGGAAGAATATAATAACCAAAATGAAGAATACACTAGATGGAATCAACAGTAGTTTAGATGAAGCAGAGGACTGAATCAGCAAGTTGGAAGGCAAGGTAGAAAACACCCAATCAGAACAGTAAAAAGAATAAGAATGAAAAAAAGAAAATTTTAAGAGACCTGTGGTAGAACATCAAATGTACCAACATCTCCATCATATGGATATCAGAAGGAGAAGAAAGAGAGCAAGGGATTGAGAATATATTTGAAGAAATAGTGACAGAAAACTTCCCTAACCTGGTGAAGGAAATAGATATACAAGTCCAGGAGGTAAAAAGAGTCCCAAACAAGAGGAACTCAAACATACCCACACCAAGACATATCATCATTAAAATGCCAAAAGATAGAGACAAAGAGAGAATCCTAAAAGCAGCAAGAGAAAGGCAGCTAGTTGCTTACGAGGGTACTCCCATAAGAATGTCAGCTGATTTTTAAACAGAAACTTTTCAGGCCAGAAAGATTGGCACATAATATTCGAAGTGGTGAAAAACAAGAACCTAAAACCAAGACTGCTCTATCTAACAAGGCTATCAATTAAAACTGAAGGTGAGATAAAGAGCTTCTTAGACAGGAAAAAGCTAAAAGAATTCACCACCAACAAGCCAGAATTACAAGAAATGTTAAGAGTATTTCTGTAAAGAAAAAAACATAATACAATTAATAAAATGGCAATTACTATGTAACTATCAATAATCACTTTAAATGTAAATGGATTAAATGCTCCAATCAAAAGATAGGATAACTGAGTAGATAAGAAAACAAGACCCATACATATGCTGTCTACAAGAGACTCACTTCAGATCAAATGACACAGACAGAACGAAAGGGATAGAAAAAGACATTTCATGCAAATGGAAATAAAAAAGAAGCTGTGGTAGCAATACTTACATCAAAAAAAATAGACTTTAAAACAAAGGCTATAATAAGAGACAAGGGCATTACATAATGATAAAGGGATCAATACAACAAGAGAAGATAACCCTAGCAAACATACACACCCAACATAGGAGCACCTGCATAAATAAAGCAATTATTGACCTACATAAGGGGAGAGATTGACAGTAATACACTCATAGTAGGAGAATTTAACACCCCATTGACACCAATGAACAGATATTCCAGACCGAAAATCGATAAGGAAACAATAACCTTAAATGACAAACTAGACTAGATGGATTTAAATGATATTTCCAGAGTGTTTCACCCCAAAGCAGCAGAGTATACATTCTTCTCAAGTGCACATGGAATATTTTCCAGGACAGACCACATCATAGGCCACAAAACAAAACTCAATAAATTTAAGAAGATTGAAATCATAGTGTCTTCTCCAACCACAATGGTATGTGACTAGAAATCAACTACAAGAAAAAAAAACTGGAGAATATACAAACACATGTAAGCTAAACAACATGGTACTAAACAACGAATGGGTTAATAATGAGATCAAGGAAGAAATCAAAAGATACTTTGATACAAATGAGAGTGAAAACACAATGACTCAAAATCTATGGGACACAACAAAAACAGTCCTAAGAGGGAAATTCATACCAATAGAGTCCTACCTCAAGAAACAAGAAAACTCTCAAACACTCTAACCCTACACTTAAAAGAACAAGAAAAAGAACAGCAAACAAAACCAAAAGTGAATAGAAGTCAGGAAATAATAAAGATCAAAGTGGAAATGAATGAAATAAAGTCTAGAGAAACAATACAAAAGAATAATGAAACCAAGAATTTGTTCTTTGAAAGGATAAACAAAATTGATTAACCTTTAACCAGACTCATCAAGAAAAAAAAGAGAGAGGACCCAAATAAATAAAATCAAAAATGAAAGAAGAGAAGTAACGACAGACTTCACAGAAATACAAAGGATTATAAGAAAATACTATGAGCAATTACATGCCAACAAACTAGACAATCTGGAAGAAATGGATACATTCCTGAGAATATACAATCTCCCAAAACTGAGTCAAAAGAGAATCTGAACTGCCCAATTACCACCAATGAAATTAAATTGGTAATCAAAAACTTCCAAAAAGCAAAAGTCCAGGACTGAATGGCTTCATAGGTGAATTTTACCAAAAATTCAAAGAATTAACACTTATTCTTCTCAGACTATTCCAAAAAAATTAAATAGGAGAGAAAGCTTCGTAACTTTTTTATGAAGCCGTTACCCTGATTATAAAACCAAAGATAAACAGTACAAAAAAAGAAAACTATAGGCCAATATCCCTGATGAACAATGATGTAAAAATCCTCAACAAAATATTAGCAAATCAAATTTACCAATACCTTAAAAATATCATACACCATAATCAAGTTCAATTTATTCCTGGTATATGAGGTTGGTTTAATATCTACATATCAATTAATGTGATACACCACATTAATAAATTGAAAGATAAAAATCATATAATCATATCATTAGATACAGGAAAAGCATTAAACAATATCCAGTGTCCATTTATGATAGAAACTCTCAGCAAAGTGAGAATACAGAGAACATACCTCAACATAATAAAGACCACATATGACAAACCTACAGTTAATATACTCAATAGGGAAAGGCTAAAAGAGTTTTCCTTAAGATCAGGAACAAGACAAAGATGCCTACTTTCACATCTGTTCAACATTGTATTGGAAGTCCTAGCTACAGCAATTATACAAGAAAAAGACATAAAAGGCATCAAAATTAGAAATGAAAAAGTAAAACTGTCATTATTTGTAGATGACATAATACCACATATAGAGGACTCTAAAGATTCTAACCATTAGAACTGATCAAAGAATACAGTAAAGGAACATACAAAATTGATATTCAGAAGTCAGTTGCATTTTTATACACCCATGATGAACTATCAGAAAGAGAAATTAAGAAAACAATTCCATTAACAATAGCATCAAAAACAATAAAATACCTAGGAATCAAATTGATCAAGAAGATAAAAGACCCTATTCTTGGAAAATTATAAGTCGTCAAACAAAGAAATTGAAGAAGATACAAATAAATGGAAGCATATACCATGCTCATGGGTAGGAAGAGTCAACATTGTTAAAATGGCCATACTACCCAAAGCAATCTATAGATTCAAGGCAATCCCTATCAAAATACAAATGGCATTTTTCACAGAACTAGAACAAATAATTCAAAAATTTATATGGAGCCATAAAAGATCCTGAATAGCCATGGCAATCTTGAGAAAAAAGAACAAAGTTGGAGTTATCGCACTATCCGATATCAAACTATACCACAAGGCTATAGTAATTAAAACAGGATGGTACTGGCATAAAAACAGACACATAGATCAATGGAACAGAATAGAGAGCCCAGAAATATATCGACGCCTATATAATCATTTAATCTATGAGAAAGGAAGCACGAATATACAATGGGGTAAAGATGGTCTCTTCAACAAGTGGTGTTGGGAAAATTGGAAAAAAATGAAACTAGACTACCTTCTTACAACATATATAAGAATAAATTCAAAATGGATTAAAGACTTAAATGTAAGACCTGAAACCATAAAACTTCTAGAAGAAAACATAGAGAATAAACTCTCTGATATTGCTATTAGTAATTTTATTCTGATATATCTCATCTCGTAGGACAAGGGAAACAAAAGAAAAAAAAACAAATTGGACTACATCAAACTAAAAAGTTTTTGTATAGCAAAGGAAACCATCAACAAAATGAAAAGACTACCTACTGAATGGAAAAAGATATTTGCCTATGATACATCTGACAAGGGGTTAATATATAAAATGTATAAAAAACTCATACAAATCAACAAAAAAAATCCAATTTAAAAATGGGCAGAAGACTTGAACAGGTATTTCTCCAAAGATGACATACAGATCGTCAATAGACATATGAAAAGATACTCAAGGTCACTAATCATCAGAGAAATGCAAATTTTAACTACAATGACATATCACCTCACACCTGTCAGATTGGCTATTATCAATAAATCAAAAACAACAAATGTTGGCAAGTATGTGAAGAAAATCTGACCTCGTACACTGTTGGTGGGATTGCAAATTGGTACAGCCACTGTAGAAACAGTTTGGAGTTTACTCAAAACATTAAAAATGGAACTACCTTTTGACCCAGCAATTGCACTTCTGGGTATTTATCCAAAGAAAAACAAAACACTATTTGGTAAAGATATATGCATCCCTATGTTCATGGCAGCGCTATTTACAATAGCCAAGATATGGAAGCAATCTAAGTTCCCATCAATAGACAATTGGATGAAGAAGTTATGGTACATATATACAAAGGAAATAAACATACAGGCCCAGGAACTGCAGAGAGTCCCAAATAAGCTGAACCCAAAGTGGCCCACACCAAGACCCACAATCATTGAAATGCCAAAGGTTAAAGACAAAGAGAGAATCTTAAAATCACCAAGAGAAAGGCAGTTAGTTATCAACAAGAGAGCTCCCAGAAGACTGTCAGCTGATTTCTCAACAGAAACTTTGCAGGCCAGAAGAGCTTGGCAGGAAACATTCAAATTGATGAAAAGCAAGGACCTGCAACCAAGATTGATAAAAAACAAGGATCTATAATTAAGATTACTCTACCCAGCAGAGCTATCATTTAGAATGGAAGGACAGATAAAGAACTTCCCTGGTAAGAAAAAGCTAAAGGAGTTCATCACCACTAAGCCAGCATTACATGGAATGTTAGAGGGACTTCTTTAAGAAGAATAAGGAAAAAGCAAAAGAAAAGATAAAAAGTATGAATAATAAAATGGCAATTACTTTAAATGTAAATGGATTAAATGCTCCAATCAAAAGATAGGGTGGCTGAATGGATAAAAAAACAAGACCCTTACATATACTGCCTATGAGAGACTCACTTCAGATCAAAAGACACACACATATTGATAGTAAAGGGATGGAAAAAAAATATTTTCTAAAAATCAAAACAAACAAAAAAAGCTGGGTTAGCAATACTTACACCAGACAAAATAGACTTTAAAACAAAGGCAATAATAAGAGACAAAGAAGGACCCAGTAATCCCACTTCTGGGAATTTATTTGAAGAAACTCCGAAACACTACTTTGAAGGGACAGGTGAATCCATATGTTCATTGCAGCATTTACAATAACTAAGATATGGAGGCCATCTGGGTGTCCATCAATAGATGAATGGACAAAGAGCTGATACATATATACAATGGAATATTTCTCAGCCATAAAAATAATGAAATTATGCCATCTACAATAACATTGTTGGGCCTAGAGGGTATCGTGCTGAGTGGAGTAAGTCAGACAGAGAAAGACAAATGCCATATGTGGAATCTAGAGAACAGGATAAACAAACAAACAACAGAAACAAGCTCATAGATACAGAGAGCATTTTGATGGTCATCAGATTAGAGTTGGAGGGATCATTGAATGGGGGAGGAGGTTAAGTACAAATTGGTAGTTACAAAATAGTCATTGAAATATAGAGTATAACATGGGGAATATTGTCAGTAGTATTGTAATAGCTATGTATGATGTCAGATGGGTACTGGATTTATCAGGATGATCACTTCATAAGTTATATAAATGTCTAAGCACTGGGTTGCACACTGGAATTAATATAATATTGTATGTAAACTATAACTGAAAAAATAAAAATTAAAAAAAAATAAATAATAAAAATAGGTTGATAAACAATGCTAAATAGAAATAACAGGTCAATAAACAATATGTATAATGTAATCCCATTTTGATGAATATATTCATGTATATAAAGAAAGAAAGCATAAAAGGCTATACACATGAGTGTTAAGAGTGGGTCAATTCAGCATGGTATGATCATGGATAATTTTTTATTGATTTTATTTTTGCTAAATGATATTTTTAAATTTCATATAACTCAAATGAAATAGTCACTTTAGAAAAAAAGAACAATTTAAATTTATTTATACTGAAATGTTATTGATTTCTCAGATCCACTTTCCTTTAAACAGTTGAAATTCAGGCAGCGTAAGAAGAGAAGCATTGGATGCCTGGACAGCAGAAGAGATAAAAAAAGAGAAAAGAATCTGTAGATAAAAGAGAAGTCAAGAAGGGCTCACTTCATTTATTCTTTCATTTTCCTCAAGGCTGATCCTGCTGGACTGACAGGTTTAGAGTTAATCTCACATGTTTTGCAAACAAATCATGCCCCCAAGAAGACATATACAGTTTGGAGGAGAGATTTCTAGATTTCTAGCCCCTTTTCTTCTTTGTTTAAAAAATTCTTCTGGCTACTCTCCTGAGTACCTATCTGAGACACTCTTAAAATCTGAAAGAAGGCAATAGTTGTGCAACATGGAGTGCTTATTTATATATAATGCTATCAGCACTTCCTGCTTAAAACAGGAAGGAAGAAAAGGACTGATAGTTTACCCAAAATGAGTAAAATGAAGAGGACTTTTTATCTTAGGAACAAAAAGACAGACTCTTACAGCTACCATTTTGACTGTTCCTAAAGACTGCTTATTTATTTGTTTCTTGTTTAAATAATATTGGACTAAAGGCAGCCTGGAGATTGAATAGTCATCAGATCCAAGAATGTGCTTCATTTAGAAATCAAAGTAGGCATTAGAACCATTTCTTTATGCAAAAGAGAAAGTTCAATATTCTTTAATAAGAACATTTCATAACAAACACTAAGGTAATAACAAATAATAATCTCAGAATTTTATAATGTATTCCCATTTTCAAAGTGCTTTCCCAGATCTCATTTGGTCAACAATGAGAAACTAAAAAAAAATAGTTCAGGCTGTATGCTAATAAATGTGACAAAAGTGATCAGTTTCAGTGCCTGAACACCAGATAAACATTTATTTCTCAACTTATTAAGTGTATTTTCTTTGTATAAGAAAAATGTTCAACCAACCAGTAATCATAAATGTGTCCCGTTTTAACAACTTTGCCCACAATTATTCTCTATGGGTGAGAAATAAATTATTAGATACAACTTCATGGAACCAAACGCAATCTGTACACTGCCAAAGTGAATTTGAGGCCAGTCTATATAAGTGTGTTCCAAGTCAAAAATCATGAAATTAAACAAACTAAGCCCTTTGTTCCATAACCACATCTATTATACTTCTAGGGATCCAGCTTAGCCTAAAAGACACATACCATCTTTTGTGTTCTCTGAATAACAGGAAAAAAGTCTTCATTTTTGTTAGTTTGTTTTAGTCAAGGTCAAAGCTTTAACCAGCCAGTCTAGGCACCAGCCATCCAGTGGTCAGGGGCATCTGGACAGAACAGGGATACACATATTTATGAGATAATCAATATCAAATAAAGCACTCTGATTATCTGTAAGCAAAAGTAAAAGAAAAAAAAACACCCAAAAAAAAGTGTAAATTGGAAAAGCTTTGGAAATATCATTAAAAAAAAAATCAAGGTTTTATTTTGTATTCAAATTTGTTCCCAATATTGCCTGAGGGCTCACTTGTACAAACCACCAACCCATCAAACTAGCAAGGCTAAGATATAGCAAAGTTTTTAATGCTCCAAAACATAAGTCATTCTTTGAGACAGTATCTATTTCCTGGTTGGTAACTTAAAAATATAAATAAATCTGAGTAAGCAAAGCCATAGTGTGAATAAAAGTAAAGCTGTATTTATTGGAAACATAATTTGTGCCAGGCACTATTGCATTTAAGCCTCATAATAACCCCATAAAGTAGTGTAATTGTTGTCCCTATTTACAGACCAGGAATATAAGGAGCCAAGAGGTTAGATAACTTGTCCAAGATTACAACTAGTAAATGGTGGAACCAAGGTTCAGCCCAAATCTGTCTACCTCCAGAGTTTATACAACTAACCACTAGTGCATACAACTTTTCAGTGTAGTTTCCTCTGCTACCCTCTACTCCTTTTAGGGGAAGGAATGCTGAAAAGAAAAGGGGGAGCTGAAGACATTAAAAACATGCTTTATTTCTTTCAAATTTATACTCCCATCTACTTCTGCTTGTATTTTTTTTTAAGTAAGGGTATCTCAGTAAGAAAGGTGAAGCTAGGTTATAGGCTAGACCCCAAAATCAAATGTTTAAGTCAGTTTCCCCTCTTGGCTAGATAGTTGATTGGTCCCTGCTGAGATAAAGAAAACATGTCAAAAACAGCTTCTGAGCACGTATCTGGGGGATCTCACCTGATACTAGGAAATAACTATGAGGTTGTTTGTACAGCTATTTATAGTTCACAAGCATTTCACATGCATTAGCTCACTCTGATTCTCAGTGAAGTAACAGAGTGGTGATTATTAACCTTTTGCCATTATTAATTACAAAATGGAATACTGATGCTCAAAAAATACAAATGACTTGATCTCTCCAAGGTCACATCAAAAATGATGGAGCCAAAATAAACCCAGGTTTTAGGACTCCATTTTCAAGTCAAATAAACATTTCACCTTACCTTCAGGGAGCTCCAATGACTAAGGCAGTTTTACAGATAGCACTTCATTAGATCATACACACAGAAAACATATATAAATATACATGGCAGATGTTGTCACTGTGGCAAACTTAGCTGCAGACATAAAAGTGGGTCTTTGCAACTAGATCCTCCATGGCAATAATTTCTTGCCCTGGGATTATAATACCCTACAGGGTCCCAAATTATCTCAAAGTTACTCAAATTTCTCTCTCAAATTTTATTTATAGGACCTCATGCAATATCTTGGGTAAGAAATAACACTGTGTAGGAGAGGAGGATGGAGAAACAGGTAATGCAATAATTTTATCTGCATATTACCTTTTAGTTTATAAAGCTCCTCCATGGCTCCCATTTTATTTGATTTTTAAATACTGTGAAATAGCCAGAGCTGACATTATCATCATCATTTCTTCCCTAATAAGAACACTAAAATCCCCATCCATAGTGGATGACCTCTCCTATGAGAGTCAGTCCTCAGGTCACGTCTCCTTAGTGGTTCTGAATTTAAAGGCATCTAATAGAGAACTCTCACTATGAACTACACTTAAAGGTATTTCAGGCTTATGTTAGCAAATTAGGTAGCAGGAGCTTTGAGGAACTGCGGAGTTCTTACACACCTCTAAAATAACTCTCAGTAGACTAGTCTCTAGTTATAGCAGAATTTTCACCAGGAAGTTATAGTACAGTGAATTCTCCTTCAATTAAGGAAAGGCCTAGTTCTCACTCAAGGTCTTTGCCTAATTCCTCCATTATCGATCCTCCCTTGAAGCAAAAGTTTAGGTGGGGACAAGTCCAAGCGGCCCCAGTTCCTAAGTTTGCAAGCTATTAGCGGATTCCCTGACCACATGCACCCATCAGACTCTCTCACTTTGGTTGCCAAAATGACCCAACAATCCAGTCTATCTCCCAACCCACGCTCAGCTCCACCTGGACTGAGGGGCAAATACCAATTAGAAGGAAGTCAAGCTAGAGTTTATCAACATTACTACACCTTGCATTTTATAACTTTTTTACTTTTCACTGCAACTTTATGTGTATTTTCTTCTTTGATCCTGTCAGGGGAGAAAGGCAAGAACTGTATAAATCCATGCAAAGAAGTTCCCTCATCCATGCTAACTAGATGTTCTTCCTGAAAATTCAAAGCCCACACATAAAGTTACACACGCTCAGTATGCCTCAATTATGCACAAAGAGCCACACTGAGATAGAAATCAGTACAAAGGGGGTGAAAATGAATCTGCTTACTCTTGATTGGGAATCCAGAAACCTGGGTTCTTTTCCCAACTTTGGCACTTACATATATGACCTTTTATTAGTGATACTCCCTAACCCAAACATGGTATTAATTTTAAAATCTATTCTAAATCTGAGCTGTCCAACACAGTAGCCACTATACATATGTGGCTATTAAGCCTTTGAAATGTGGCTAGTGTGACTGAAGGATAGAATTGTTAATTGGATTTAATTTAATTAACTTACATTTAAGTTTAAATAACCACACATAGCTAGTGGTTACTGCATTAGACAGCATAGAATAATGTAGGAATGTTGGCTTAAATGATCTGTACCATCTCTCCTAGGCGGTCTATGCTAATCTGTTCTACAGGTAGAGTAAATGTTATTCATTCAAACTCACCAGAATTCTCAATTAGTGCACCTTGGCCTCACCAGAAATGATAATCCAAGGCTGCTTTATACCCATTGGATAGGCCTTGGGGCAGGAAGAGGGAAAGTGATGAGCCGTATTTCCACAGCTAGACATATTTTTCACTGTTTCTGCATTTCTATAAGTTAAAACTAAAGGATGAATCAAGGCAATCCCAGTGTCTGTGAATGATGTACATGTGTATATAGAACTGAGCTATGAGTATAGTAACACTCTTCTTTATCTACCTTGTACAAAGTGCTATTAGTATTGATTGTGGAACAATTTCAGTTCTGGAAGAAAAAAATGACTCCTCTTGATTTTGTGGTAAAATAAATACATGTTGAAAAAGTCTCTTTTGCTCTGGCCTTTCTCCTCATCTGTAATGTAAAAGAGCTGCACTAGATTATTTTTTTTGACAAACCAAACAATGTAATGAGCTAACAGCTGGGGACACAATGAGCCAGGGACCTGTCATACCCTCAGGAATTCAATTTAATAAAAATTCAAAACAAAATGATTTTTCAAGGCCCTTTTTAAGCTCTATGAATTCATGTAAGCTATGAATCCTATGGCTCATAGTTAATGTTGTGAATGTTGTATGACTGGAAATCTTTTAACCTTCTACCTAAATCCTACTTCGCTAAGACAGAGTCTCCATCCAATTACATGTCATCCTCCCTCTCCTTCACCATTCCCTACTTGGTACTCTCTATACCTCAATAATAAAGTAAGAACTGAAAGAGTCTGAAAAAATGAGAAAAAGGTGAGAGATGGCAGCAAAGAAGGAACAGTCTGAGTATTTTACTATTTTCTGAAATGATAGAAAATGTGAGGATAAGTATGTAATGAAGGTGTACAGAAAAGAAAAGAAAGGATGGAGAAGTGAGGAAAGGAGATTTAAAAAATCTGCAGTCAATCATAAAAAACATGGTATAAGTTGATGCAGCTGTACAAGGCAAAGACCTAATTGGGAATGGGTGGAGCACTGCCTTTCTCATTACTCAGGAAGCACATAAGCAGTTAAGGAAGGAAATGAGTAGGAAAGGACACAGAAACAACACTGGGCATCCCCTCTCTACCATAGCTGTTGTGGTGCCATCTTGAAGCTCAAAGATCTAGCTCCTTTCTCTTTTCTTCCTTACCTCAGTATGAACTACCCTTCCACCATAGCTGAAGATGGCTGTAACAGTCCAGACTGGAGAGGAAGTGATAGCTCACCCTCTATCTCCCTTATGAACTTTCCCCTATATCTCTGGGGATCCAAACTCAGTTGAAGAAATTGTAGTAGTGTCATTTTAGTAATTAAAAAAAAAAAAAACAGAGATGATTAAAGAGTCTGGTCTTGGGTCCAAATTTTATCCCCACCCCCTTTAATTTGGTTTGTTAGCCTTTTTCCCCAACCACTACCACAACCAAGAATTCTATGAATGAAAATGAAGATCTGAGAAACCTTAGAGCTCTGGCTTTAGGTTGGCTGTGAGATAATTCTGGTAACTACAGGTGCAAAAGCCATTTTCAGTAAATGGCTTTATTCCTGCAGCACGTAGCAGACCAGAGGGCTGTTGCTGGGCTCATGTTTTACTGAGTACAACCAAATTAGTTATTAGTTACAGGGCTTTGTTTTAAAGAGTATTAAAATAAACATAAATATGCCTATCCCCATACAGAGTATCTTAATATAACTCAATATAATTGATGTAACCAACTCACATCATTTGGTTCATAACATGAAGGTGCTTCCCCAAGCTCAAATCAGCACATAGCAGACTGGCATCTCCCCATTCTCCAGAAGCTGGACAGAGTATTCCATATGTCCAACACCCCAGAGCATAGCCAAAGGTCAAGAGCATTTACCTGGCTTCCAAATTCCTAACACAGAATCCCTGGCAGCAAGCCCAGTCATTCCAGACCATTCAGAGTGTAACAGAAAACAACTCACTTTTAATCCAGTGGGAGCAATGTATTGTAGGGATTTGGGGAAACCAAGCTCAAACTAAGCCTTTTAAGAATGTGGATAGAGCCACAACCATCATAAAGGGGTGTGTGTGTGTGTGTGTGTGTGTGTGTGAGAGAGAGAGAGAGAGAGAGAGAGAGAGAGAGAGAGAGAGAGAGAGAGAAATTTTATCTTGCCTAAAATCAAGTTTCATATAAT